ACATTGCAAAAGTGGCCACTACGCGGCGTTTGAGCGCTTCGCGCGGATATCCGGCTGCAGATCGTCAAGGTTTACGCTCCTTAAATCATATTATTTTCTAAAGCAGTCTGTCTATAGCACCCTGAAGGCTGAATCAGTGAATGCTCGTGTGGGTAGGCAAAAACACGGGGCAGCCTAGGGCTGGTACGCTTCTAATCATAATTGTCGCCTGCCAACCTGCAATGGACATGTGTCTGCAATGCATACAGATTAGGTGGGTGCGAAAGTGTGGCTGATATATTTGTAGAGACTGCACATTTCCATGAAAACGGAAAATGGCCGGAAATCACGGAATCACCCCTTCTGAAACGGAATCACCAGTTTCACCAAAAATAACCTCCCAAAACACAAAAATAATTTTTAAAGCAGCTCAAATCACTCCCAACACACACAAAATCATTATGAAAACTTATCTTACATTCATCACTTTAAATAGGTGAAAATTTGATGTAAAACATAGGAGAATATGCGAAAATTCCGGCACAGGGCGATAGATCCAAATAAGGCAGCGTTGAACTTGGTAATCATAAATAAAATTATTTTAAAAATTGGTAATCTGTGTTTGATTACATTTATGATCGGCACCATGCATGCTGTTGTGCCACTTATGACATAAGTTGCAGGTTGCAACTTCAGGGTACACAGCAAATGTCTAATTATTTTAAATTATCTCTGATTACTATTGAACTGCAAGCATTTCATTGTACTGTGGCTAATGTAAACCTTTAATTATGGTAACTTATCAATTTTACATGGTTTAAATACAATTTTACATGGTTTTAATGGTTGAATCTCAAGTGAAGCCATAGTTTATCATTTTAATTATCAGAAGCTCCCTGCTTCTAGACCTAGTGTTTGCAAGTGAAGCTAAGTAAAGCAACTGGCAAGGAAGGTACAGCATAACCATTGTGATTGCCAATTACACAGCAACAGTCAGAATGTAGTTTGTGTTATTTTCCAATAAAGGAAAACACTGGCATAGATATCAGTCATGTTTTTAGCTGAGTGTGTACTTGTTTATCAATATTAATTAGAAATTAATAAAAAAAAACAAGAGTGTTCTGATTGGTATGTTTTTAACATATTTTGCTGGGTAACTGCTTAGTATGTGCCGCCCCTAGTGGTGATGAAATATGCACGACTCGCTTTTTAATATTTTCTGATGTAGGCAAGTTGTGTAGAATAAATAAATTCGAAGATCCTAGAAAGAAATTCCCAAAGATAAAATTTGATTTAGTTCAAAGTGGAATAATGAATTCCCCGTGGGCGGTGTCGTAAGGCCAGTCAAGGCAGTGCTGCGCTGCGCCGTGGTAACTGAACGTATGTACGCGATTGCAGGAAGGAGGGGCCGGACAGTCTGATCCTCCGGCCCAGGAATGTGCGGACGATCAGGAGCCGGACTTCCCGACGGCCGAGCTAGCGAAGCTCGATGAGATGATCAACAGGCCGCGGTGGGTGGTGCCGGTGCTGCCGAAGGGTGAACTAGAGGTCCTGCTAGACGCTGCCATCAAGTTGTGCAAAGCTAGTAAGTCGACTGCCATTCGTCGCATTGTCGTGCTTACCATGTTGGTTGATTTTTTTTAGGTTATCACTCGTATTCAGTGTTAAGTTATATTTAGATTGGCGGTTTTTAATGAAATTAATTGATTAAAATTAATAACTAAGGTATTATTTACGTTCGTGAATGTGTACTTTACGTATATAACTATACGTCTATAATCTTATTCATGTAAATAAAACCTCATAATACACATGACATACTGTAAAGAGAATTGTTATGGTGGAAGTTATTATTCAACGATTCATAATCGCATGTTGTGATTTTAGACATTTTCGTTTCTTTATTCTTTTGTAAGTTTCCGAGGGATGTGTGGACTTTATGTACGTTTCCGATTATCGTTTATGTGTGGACTTTACCCCCTGCAGATTTGGACACGAAAAGTGAGCCCTGCCAGAAGTTCTTCAGGGATGGCCTAACGACGTCTTTCACGAAGATTTTAACGGATGAAGCCGTCAGTGGCTGGAAGTTTGATATTCATGTAAGAATGAGACTAGATATTAGATTGGTAATTGTGAATAACTTGGCTCTTGAAGCTAGAACAGCATTTTTATAGTAACAGGTATGTCCAATTCAATTTTTTAAACGTTTTATTTGTACAGGAGATGAGTTGAGAATAGTTTCCAACCTTTCTTCTTAGTAGAGTAGCTGTAGTCTCTGATTCTCCTGGGAGTCCCTACTAATAACAGTTCTGTCGCTTGCAGCGTTGCATTCTAAAGAATTCGGAGAGACTCGTAGAACTCTGTGTAGTAAAGCTGCCACATGACTGGTTCCCACTGCTAGACTTGCTAGCCATGGTACTGAATCCAACCAACAAGTGAGTAGTCGAGTCAATGGTTGTCTCGTAATGTTTCTGTGGTCGTGTTCATCTTGGTCGAACTTGGGTGAAACTGTTCCATCCCCCCCCCCCAGAAAACATGCATAGCAGCTACTTATAACTGCAGGTTAAGGATGCTGTTAGGGTTGGGAGGTGATTATCGGTCGAAATTGCAATACCCACTTTATTTGATAGATCGCACCTATGGGCAGCTATGTATACGTAGAAATTATATTCCTCCCAAACAGTTCCAAATTCTCGCATTAGTCAATTCTTAACACAGGCGTTCAATCATAGGAAATTTAGAAAAGTACTAATATCTCCATTGTTAGAAATGCTGAAGTTGCTGATTTTTCAAACGGTATTTCTCGAAACTCGCAACTCCAATTCCAAAATTTTTTGTTACGTGTCAATGCTAACATGTCAAAGGAAAAAAGGATCCCTGGAATTTTTTTAAATATTATATTTTATAAGTTATGGCTCTTTGTTTACGAAATTGTTGCGTTTTGAAAATCACTACAAATTTACATACATCTTTTCAACTTATTTCCTAAATTAAAGCATTTAAACAAAAATTCAGGGAACCTTTTTTAGTTCATATGATGAACAACTTATGGTTAAAAGTTTAGGTCCCAACTCTGCTGTTTCTGAGAAATAACAAAAAAAGCATTTTTTTGTATAAATTCAATATTTTTGCTGTCACTTGATTAGTGATGAATTTTGGAGAAAATTTTTTTTCCATCGAGAGCATAGAGAGACATCTCTCTTATGTAATGGATATGAGTTTGATTGAATTTTATGAGCAGTTATGTTGCAATGCCCTTTACAGTGTTACCCGTCCCTAACCCTAGAACAGTATCCTTAACGCTCTTTCTCATTCTAAGGAATGCCTTCAGTGACGTTAGACAGGGTAACTGTAAAATACTGAGCAAATACGTGATACAAAATGTTTCAAAGTTTTCTACCTAAACAGTGCATACTACTTATATCAATAGTTAATTTTACTTCCCCAGCTGTAGGTCTGTTTATCTCCAAAAAAACGGAGGTGCGTTCATTTCGACCCGTGTTTAGTTGTAAGCACACGCACGAGCTCGGTATGTTTAAGCTTTTGCTGCTCGCATTCACTCTAGGTTTCACATCTACAATGGCACGAGACAGTCGGAAACTGTTGCCCCCGGGTCTCAGCTGGCAGACGATGAGCTATTTGCTCGACCACCGGACCCTCGTTCTCCACGGGTAACTATCGTAGCGTTTCCCGCGTATGGGTCAGCTTGAAACATCAACAATGATTTTATCAATACCTTGCAGTTTATCATTAAAGCTACGAATGAGATTGAATGAATTAAAGTTTATAATGAAATTATTATATTAATAACTTAATTAAAGTTAATAATAAGATGTTTTTGTTTTTTTAAACTACCTAACAGTGGGAATGTGTAGAATTTACATTTAGTAATGAAGTAAATCATGTGTCTACTCATGTATTTAGCAAGCTTTAATTAGTCAGAGCTTTCTCTATCTGTCTATAATGCTCCTAACTAATTCTTCGAAAACATGTTGCACTGTAGCAGTAATTATCTGGATTAGTAATACTGCTAAAAAAAACTCGTCGCAATTATGACGAGATAGCCGAGAATTTCTCGATAACAAACCTGGGTCGTTTTCGCGTGGTGCGTCTGCGGCAGGCGTGTGGTTGCTCTGCATGTTAGGTGTTGTGAATTAAAGGCATAATAGGCCCATTGATTAATGCTTTTAACTACTAAACTAAATTACAAAACTAAAACTAAAAAACTACTTTACTAATAAGTAATTTAAGTTGACGAATGCTTGAGTAACTGGCACCTTGTGTAGTTAATAAGTACATTAACCTTACATAATCTTACATTCAAACTCGTATTAGCTTGTCCAATATCACTGCTGGTTACTAAGTAATGTCTAATAAATTGTCAAATAAATCAGTTGTTTACAGTTTTAAACCGCATCCGCCGAAGCGGATGTGATACAGATTATAGTGCACCGGACATTTTCGCACGCATGCTCGGACGTACGCAGTGTGTAGCATTCGTCAACATTGCATGATCAATGGGCCTATTATGCCTTTAATGCCACACGTACTTCCTGAACTGATGGAGAGCAGACAGCTAAGAGGGATCATCACGTATCCATTTATTTTTAAATACGCCACTATTCTGTCGGTACTTACTCCACGGCAATTTAAAAATGTACTCGCAGCTTTACGCGATCGACACATGAAGTTTGTCGTGTAAAGCCTAGCGCAGACCTGCAACTTTTTCATGCAACTCGACAGCGATTCTAGAATCGCTGTAAAAATTTCGCTGCATCATTACAGGGCTGGCTGGTGGACCTCATCAATCGCTTCGGCAGCTTGGATGGATTCCAGCTTCTACTGGACCGCTTTCAGAAGGGTCCTCCTCTAAACGTGCCTGTGATAGCCGCCCTCATTCGCCCCTTTGGTCTGTGCAACGAGCTGCTGACACAGCACACCGTACAGAAATACTTCGTGCCCGTCATTGTAAGTCGTGCTAGGATTCGCTGAAGCATCCATGTTTACGTGCAATACTAGTTTACGGTTAATTAATAGAAATTAGAGTTGTGCATAATGTGTGCACCGAATTGCTTCATATATAAGCATCTACAAAGTTTCCTTAATTTACGTTTAAGTGTAAATTCACATATTGAGCTGAAAAGCTCAATTATTTTAAGTAACACGATAAAAGATCCAAATTTAATATATTATTTCATATCGTTATTTTTATGCACCTTGATTTTTGTTTGTGTCATCGACTATATTAAATATGTTTATATAAGGGTGTATTAATATTTCATCAAGGTTATCATGAATGTGCAAGTTGTACACTTTATCTTCACCGATACACAATACATGGTATAATTAAACTGTATACCGTTAATGGTATTACTGCACGTTTTGTAGGAAGTTGTACCCGGCTACCTAGAGACATTAACGGATGATGAGCTGAAAAAAGAAGCAAAGAACGAATCAAAAAACGATGCATTATCCTCGATTATCAAGTCACTGAAGTATTTAGTGCTCAGGATTCCTGGACAGGAAGAGAAACTGAAGAGCCTAGAAATCTTTCGTCTAAAGATGATTCTAAGGTGTGTGAAATTGTTACAAAAACATAATTGGTCATTTGGGAGACTGAAAAACCACTGACTTTAAATGTGTATATAAAAATTATTCTATTTTTCTTGTTCAAAATAGCCCTCACTGGTATTCGCTCGCTAAATTTTTACATGAGGACTGAATAGTGTGTGTTTTCCTGTTTGCATTTTTTTGAAGTCACATTCATAAAACCACGTGATTACCTTTCAATACCTGTCGTTTCAAAGTTCACATCTATCTTTATAGCTCAGTGTCATCCGGACCTCGGTGGACGGTTCGTGCTTCCCCTACGCGCGTGCCTGTATTTTTAATAGATGGTTGGGGGGGGCGGCAAGAGTTGCTGTAAAGCCGCCCCCTCCTGTGCGTGTACGTGACTAATCGCCCGCGCTCGTGTCTGCGTGTGTGTTCAGGTTGCTGCAGATCTCCTCATTCAACGGGAAGATGAATGCTCTGAACGAGGTAAACAAGGTGATCACGAGCGTCTCGTATCTGTCGCACCGACACGGCACCGCCGAGATGGAGGGCTGGCTCACCGCCGAGCGCATGGCGGTAAGTATCGCTGGGCCTTAACGTGCACGGCCTCATGTACGTGGCCCCGCGTGCACGGCCCCGCGTGCACGGCCCCGCGTGCACGGCCTCGCGTGCACGGCCCCGCGTGCACGGCTTCGCGTTCACGGCCCCTAACTCACCCCCCCAGCTACTAACCACTCTTGCTCACTCGGCGAGGCGGTGTGAAGGCTAGTAGATGACGAATTTCCCTTGTTTATTGAAATCACACTCCTTCCCTATTATCTACTCCTGTTATTTATACATCTCTGTAATATACATGGCTGAATATACGTGGTTTATACATGGTTATTTATACATCTCTGTAATATACATGGCTTCATATACGTGGTTTATACATGGTTATTTATACATCTCTGTAATATACATGGCTTCATATACGTGGTTTATACATGGTTATTTATACATCTCTGTAATATACATGGCTTCATATACGTGGTTTATACGTGGTTATTTATACATAATAGTAAACACGACAAGGAAGTTAAGTCAGCTAAATGTATAGTTTTTAGATTATTTGCTATAATTACTGACCGCTCTTTCGATTGTATGTAACGTGTAATAAATATTTTTGGTAGTGTTTATGGTTGCAGTGGAAGATGGCCAACCACCCAGATTTTATGCAGTTTGACAAATGCACTAGTTTTAGTGAGGGGACAGTAGGGATTATAGCTCATGAAATACCACCGATATTTTTGACATTTTTCAGTCAACGTCCTTCTTGTTTTCAGGCTTGGATACAAGAAAACAAAGTTCTGTGGATAGTACTACGCGATAGCCTGCATCAACCACAATATGTAGAGAAACTAGAAAAAATCGTTAGATTTATCATAAAGGAAAAGGTACAAACAATTTACATGCACTTTAGGTGTTGTGACAGCCTCCACTAATTATTATGCCGTGTTCACTGTAGAAATGCCCCTAGTTGATAACAAACTAGTGGTTAGCAGGGTTAAAAATCTGCTCTAGCTAACCAGAATCACAAATCGTTGAAATGAATTCCTTCTTTCACGATTTTAATGTCCTATTCTGCAGTTGCAGTAATGCACAGTGATCCAGATAATACAATGGTTAATATCATTCCTGCACTTACGTTGACTTCTGAGCCTTCATTCTCGATTCCGCAGTTCAAATGTTAATATTTACACCTTGGGTTGCCACGATGTTAGGTTTGAATTCATTAATTTATTTCGTTTGCTCTATTCATCGTACAAAGGCCTTGACGCTGGAAGATTTGGACAACATCTGGGCGGCTCAGGCAGGCAAGCACGAAGCAATCGTAAAGAATGTCCATGATCTTCTAGCGAAGCTTGCGTGGGACTTCACCCCCGAGCAGCTCGACCACCTGTTTGAGTGCTTCCAGGTACGCATTTGGCTTTTCGATTATTCGTTACCGTAGGTGTTATTGTGAAGTCTGGAAGTGTATAAGCTCTACCTCGTCTTCTGTTGGTCTGTGGTCTGCTGTGTAAAAAATTCAAGCACGCGCACACATGCACGCATGCACACACACACCATACGCATGCACACGTATGCACACACACCACACACACACACACACACACACCACACTCACACACACATGCACACCACACGCACACATACACACACGCACACATACACACACGTACATGCACGCACGCACGCACACACACACACACCACACTCACACACACATGCACACCACACGCACAC